GGAAGACCAATTCTCAGCGAAAAATCATCTCAACTATGCTAAAGACCCAGAATACTTGGTTAAATAACGTTCAAGAAGCTGGTCATAGAGGATCCCGGAAATATCGGACATATTGTTGGCTAGATTAGACTATAAATTGACACTTGTAATCTGCACACAAGACACGAATTCTTAGTCTAAGCTCACTCTATGAATTTCTACATTCATTCTTACTAAGAACTCATTGTAATATTTACTTTATATCAATAAAATCATCAAGGCAGGTGATCATTATCACCTCCCAAGGTTTTATGCCGGAGATCCTAGCAAGGATCAAGGGCTTTCCTTGTAAACCATCGTATCACTTTTCTTTTACTACTTGCTATTACACAATCTGAACATCACAACCTCTCATTCAATTTGGTTGATTAGTACTTGTGTAATTTTTGACCAAAACATGTATTTTATTGGGAAATATCCCGACTTAGATTTTTCTAGGCAAGATCCCAACTTAGATTTTATAGGGAAGATCCCAACTTAGGATTTTACTGGGGAACATCCCTACTTAGAGTTTACTGGGCAAGATCCCAAATCGTAAGATAACATGATAATGTTATAAACCGTAGGTTAATAGTTTAGGATCTTAAGATATATTCAGAAATAAGAGGGTTTCCAAGTCACTAAATCATGAAATGATCCCCTTATTCACATTCCATAGTTATACATCGTGCGTCCAAGCGAGGTGTGGAAACCTAAACACAGATGAAAGAGGTTAGTAACTCTTTAAACCTTAAAAGGGATTAAGTACCCTTGATCGGAGGAGAGATGATCAATCTCTATTCGTAGTGGCTAGGATCCTTGAGTTTTTGCACGTTGCAAACGTTAGCTTGGGGTGGGCGTTAGCTTAGTTAACGCCTCTGCGATGATTAAGTCGGTAATGATCTTTGAGAGAAAAAATTATCAAAATGGGAAAGTGAAGGTAAGGAGTAATTACGTACCTTATACTTGTCATAACGAAATATTATGGCTTTGACTTACACGAAATATGCCTTGAGGTGTACAACGTTCCATGATCTTAGCAAGAGGTTCCCTTCTAGAGTAGCCAACCAATATGCCTCATTTCATGCTTTTGAATCGATGAGATAAGGGCCTTCCCGTTTAGGTGATGGTTTACCATCTTTAGGATCCTTGGAAAACAATTTGAAGAGAGAGAGAGAGAGAGAGAGAGAGAGAGAGAGGTAGGAAAGGAGTAGTAGTACATTCAAAGGCTACTTAATACTAATTTTATGTGAGTAAATCTCCAACTAGAAGATAACGAGTAAGATTTCTGAACAATATAACTTATTATAAAAGTTATCCACAATTGGGAACTAAAACTTACATATAAAGACATGTTTTCTCTAATATAGAGGCCAATATACAAAAATTGAAGACTAAAGGCTTCTATTTAACTCTAAGAAGGTGTCCATAATATTATTGATCTTAGTTGGGTTCACATTCAATCCCATGGTTATTAGAAACATCCGAGGATTCGAATGATGTTATCTGTATGTTGTAACGCCCAGGTTTTCATACCAGGTACACACTAAAATTTCTTTTTTCTCATTTAAAATTTAAAATTTATTTTGGTGTACACTGGCGTCTGGTATACAAGAAGTTATCACAAGGATCGTACTTGCCACAAGTACAAGATTGAGTCGGGTCACAAATAATCTACCTGCAAAACAGATCATCACAAAACGTAAGCCTCATGGTTTATTGAATAACAGCTACAATAACATAATCAGATAAATCATATATGATATAAATCATGTATCAAAGATCTAATAAAATCTAATACTCAGGAATAATCTATCTAACAGTTATGATCTATCTCTTAGTCATGATCTCTCTCCCCCTCTCTATCTCTCTCATCTCAATCAACATCAATCTATCAATCATTATCTATCTCAATCAGAATCTGTATCATCAATAATCAATCTCTTAATCAAAGATCTATCTCTCTCAATCAAGATCAATCAAGATCAATCAAGATCAATCAATCTATTAATAAGCTCTATTTATCAATTAAGTCTCAATCTATGAAGATAATCAGACTCTATTTCTCAATACTCATCAATCTCTCATGCAATAATCAATCACATTGATCATAAATTATATTTCACATAATGGATAGTATAAATATCCAAACTACGGATTTTAGAGTAGTATTACTCACCTGGTTAGTCGAGATACTAATTCCAATCTCGATTTCCATCCTTCGATGCCTGTCAATTCGTCACATGGTAACACCTAGTCATCATATAACAAGTTTCTCAGAACCTGTCTTAACTCACTACTAGGTATACTCAATGAGCACTCGTCACAACAATAATCATATCTCATAATATAATCATAATAGGCTTAACCCGTAAGCTGTTAGATAAATCTCTCATAACACGTAATTCGCAAATATTGGGGTTTACAGCCCACATCAATCAAACTCAATATCTAATCATGAGGTTTTCTCACTAATCTCACCAACGGGTTCATACCAACTCCATATCATGAATACCCGTAACCCTTACTTGAGTCTAATATATCTTAATAAATATTACATATCAAAATCATAAATTAACAGGGTAAAAGATACCTCAACGCATCTCTTACTCGGCCTCGTATTACCAGTACAATGGTATAACATCTCTGACATAATCTCCTGAAAACGTCACCCGAGCAACATCTCTGATCACGTGTGCCAAAATCTCTCAAAATGAGACAAGACACTCGTTTTTATACCCTGGGCATGGCCATGTCGTGGACACATATGTGCCACATCGTGGTAATCAAACATAGCCCAGTTCAACCACGTGTCAAACTCTCCTACCAGGTGCCTCGACTCATGTCACATCGTGGGGATCCTCTTCCACATCGTGGGGATCAATTGCCACATGTCACTCTCCGGTCGACATGCGTTTCAGTGCCTCACTCATTGCCACGTGGTGGCAAATATATCTCCACGTCGTGGTGGTCAAAGGTTGTCCATTGACTCGACTTCCGTTGACTTTCTCAAAATAGCAACGTAATTTTATCTCAATCTTCAAACGGTCATAACTTTCTCATACTGACTCTGTTTTCGATGATCTTTATATCTACATAATCCCCTCAACATGATCTACAACTATCCTTAACTATCTTTTTCTAAATATCACTTCTCAATTGAAAGCAACTCAAGGCTTTATGTCTCTTACTTATCTCATAATGATATATATCTCTTGAGGTAATAGATGTTACGAATAACCATATGTTACATGTGCCTACAAACAATTCACCAAGGAAAAAAAACAACAATTGCAAAACTAGATACTTAAACGTCGCCAATTGTTAACCATACCTTTAGATTCGGGTTTCGAGACGGAAATATGAAGACCTTCAACAATGAGGATGAATAGGAAAGGAGACGTTGTTTGAGGCCGTTATTAATTTTGAACTCTTAAGCAGTGGAACCGTTGACTACAACTAATGCAAAAGAAGATTGAAGGGAACCATTATCATGTCTATTTAGTCATAAAGCCTATGTTGCCTTCTAATGGACTCAGGATAATTCTATTTAAACCGGAAGAATTGAAGCTTTTTCAAAGTCAAATTTGAATTACATAAGATATTTTTTCAATAAATTTAGCCCACAATACGACATTTTCAAGATGAGTAACAGCCAATTAAAGTAGTGGGTCTATTGAATTGTATCATGTGGGAAAACATGCTTGAGCCTTTAAAAACTTTAGCACACATGAAAACGTTGTTGCCCAAAAATATTGAAGTACTTGAAATTAAAGTAAAGCCATCCAAGCTTAAAGATGAAAAGATGAAAAGTTCAATGATCATTGAACTTCAAATCCACTGAATGCCAATGTGACATTTCACAATGGTAGAGTTTCATTCATTAAATGACATATAGACTTGTCATCTCGTTCAACTCTCCCATTGTGGATGCTCTTATTAACAAACGGCCACTTTAACTTTCTCTACGAAATCCATGGATCTGCACAAAATATTAATGGGACGCGAGGAATTTAGTAATAATCACTTACAAACCAATAAGTTGAAGTACATGAATGAACTAACATCATAAAGAACAAACCAAAAAACCCTGATCATTAACCAACCTTAAAATCTTGACCAATCTCATTAGCACACAAACACCACTGAAAAGGTAGTTTCCTGTTAACAGCAATCAACACCGGAAAAAGATTCTTGCTTAACTAAAAGATCAAATGTAAAATCAGCAAAACTGCAAATTAACTTCTAAACATTACAGATTATATTAATGAAAAAGAAATAATTACCACTAAAAGGAAATGCTTGTCTCCCTTTAATTTGAAGGGCCACCTTTTAGTAATATATTAACAAAATAATTATTTATCGTTGAAAACTTTAATAATTAAATCGATCACGTCCTATTAACCATTTGACATTTTGACCGAGAGAGAGAGAGAGAGAGAGAGAGAGAGAGAGAGAGAGAGAGAGATTCCGGGGCTAGGCCACACGACCCAGGTCCCTATCACTATATATATCCACTACCTCACAACGAGCCCGCCTCTCTCTCTCTCTCTCTCTCCCATCTCTCTCTAGGGTTTCTGTTCGTGCTTTTTTTACGCGTATATCTTCTTCCTCGTTTCCTTCTTTCTCGTACGTAGGATTTCTGCGTGAGTTCTGGCTATATAACAGGCTGAGCAGATTTAGAAGCGAATCTTTGTTCTCTTTTCTTCAAGATCCTCTTGATTTCCACTCGTTATTTTCTTGTTTTTCTTCCGATTTACAGCGGCAGGAAGTACTTCTTTGTGGGCTTCCAAAAGCACTTACATCATCTATCTACTTTTTCAGTCAAAGAATTTTATTGGGTTTTCCATCTTACAAATTCTTTTCTTGAAATGACGATTTTCGCGCTTCTCCTTTATATCCAAATATAGAAAAGATTTCCATTTGGTTCCCCCTCTCCAACTGTTTGCACCTTCTCTGACAACTCAAAATCCTTTCTTTCAATGGCTCCATCAAGAAAAAGTGCAAGAAAACCAAGAAGAATCGTAAAGAAGAAGCTGATATCTAGGGCTGCTGAAACGAAAGTAGACAGTACTTCATCTTCGCCGGTTAAATCATGTTCTGATAACTCAGCGTTGAAGAAGATGGATGAGCTTAGCAGTATCGGATGTACAACCCCTAAAGCACAGAAGTACCAAATACCAGAGATTTCAACATGCCCACCAGCTCCGAAGAAGCGAAGGCTTGTTTCGAGTTGTACATTGAGGAGAACTCCGATATCTTTCTTTGATCCTCCAGATATAGAGCTCTTCTTTGCTTCACACTTGGCATCAATTTATAAACATGTTCATACCCATGTAAGATGATCACCACCCTCTAGAGTCTAGCAAATTACTTTAGTTTTCCTTCATTAGTAATGGCTAGCCGGAGTTATAAATTAGAGGTTTGGCTTTTCCTTTTTAATGTTATTTTGAATCTCTTTAATGATAGAGAAAGAGAAAGAGATATATGTTGTAGCGTGTGAAAATTTGGGAAACCGTGTGTGGTTTCTATTAGAACGAGCAGTCAACTTTTTTAAGTTGTGTTCTTGATCAGTTTGAGTGGTAGGGTATTGATCATTATGAAGTTAAGCTACCTAATTGTATTGCTAACTTTTTAAAGTTTGAGCATGAGTGCAAAATATGGTTGGATTATATATATTAGAGAAGTATGGTTTCTTTTTCTTTTTTCAATTCTTGACCATCTTAACATCTATATAATTGTTCGGTTCATTTTGGTTCAATATAGAGCTAGCTAGCATAAATACTCAAACAAGAGGTTTGTATCCTGCAAGGTGATCAATATGTTTTAGATAATAAAATTTGCTCAATCTCACACATATGGCGTTATTCTTTGCTGGATTTACTGAACCTTTTCACGAGGAAGCTTTTTAATTTATATATATTCGTTGTGTGAGATACTATAGATAAGGTATTGTCTAATCCTTTAGACTTATCTTGATGCATGTGTATGTATATATATTACGTATATACATATACTTGTGGCGTATGCATGGTTCATGTGATCCACTACTAGAAAACTAGAAAACTGGGGAATTACCTACGGCAGTATTTGTAGGAAATCAGTTTGGCAAAGCCGTTACCTACAGAATTCCTACAAAAAACGGATTGTAGGAAAAACCCTGGTGGGTAATTTTTTCCTACAAATCACCTACAAGCTTTCCTACGCATTTCCTACGGAATATTTTGTTACAAATTTACCTTCGGAACACCTACGGAACATGGTTGCTAGGAGTACCTCCAGAGTACCTACGGGTTTATTTGCTACGGATCACCTACAAAGTACCTACGGATTATTTTCCTATAGAACACCTACCAACTAATTTTCCTACAAAATACCTACCAACTGCTTTTCCTAATACTTACAAACTTTATTGGATTTTATTTCCTACAGAATACCTACAGAATATTTATTTCCTACAAATTTTTCTATGATTTTTTTGCCAGTTTTTATTGAATACAATTCTGACAAAACTTTGTTGCTATATTAAATTTATAATTTAAAACAAATCCAAATTTTCTGCTAAAAATTAATGCAAAAAAATAATAAAAAAAAACACAAACAAAATTATAATAATAGTCAAATACCATTACATTCATTGCCGTTAAAATAGTCAATAACATAAGATTCATACATTCAAATACTCAAAATACCATTACAATGTCATGACAAAAACTAAGAACTACATTGTGGATTACCAGACGGGTCGAATTGTCTCATAAAAGCAGCCAATTGTCCTTGCACTTTCAATTTCATGTCATTTCGCATTTGTTCCATGTGCAAATCCATTTGACTTTGCCTTTGATCCATGGCTTGTTGCATGTTTGACACTTGTTGTTGCTACTCATTTACCTAAAAATAGCAAGACAAACACATCCAGTTAGTAAATATTAGAAACTAAAATTAACGTTTTACACAAGATACCTAAAGCTAATAATAATTAAACTTATCTTAATATCTGTATGTGCGTGTATATTATATATGTACACGTATGTATGTATATATAATACATAGGTGTGATTTCTTTATGAAAGGAACACCATACAGCCAAGAGTGCTAGGAATTAATGGTCCCTTCACAAAACTTTTGAGGCTTTAATCAATACACTGGAAAAGAATGGTATAAAAGGGGTTTTCTTATATTAAAAGGTTTCTGTGTAGTTCTTGTGTCATCTTTAATGAACTGCAAAGGGCGACTGGGTGCAGGTAATAAGTAAATGAATGAGGGAGAGAGGAGGGTAAAAGAGTAAATTTGTTTAAGAGAATAAACAAAGGGTCGAGACAATGGACTTAATTGGAATGTTGTTGTTTTCAATAGGAGGTGAGATCATGGTGTCAGATTGATGGTATCTGTTTGTCTATGTTTAGGCCAGCATCAGCAATGGAATCCAAGAAGAGGCTTTGTGTTCCCACCATTATTATTATTATTATTATTATTTTCATCTTAATTAACATCGTTTCAAATTTGGAGTTTATTTGTGTTTTTATCTTATCTATTTTAAAAAGTTGTTTTCATTTTTAATTTTTTCGACGATATAAAAATTAAAATATTATATGTTTAAAGTTAGAGGACCGGTAATACTCTTACCATTTTATATCATCTCTTCTAAGTGTGACCTTATTATTTTTGTTTCACCATCTCATTCTTAGTATTTCATAGAGAATTATAATATTCGTAGCATTCCATTTTTTTCAAATTTAAATAAATTATACTTCTTTTTTAAAATTTAAATAAATTATAATTTTTGAATTTACGATTTTCTTTTTCAACTTTACAATAATTATATGATTTTTTTTTCAAATTTTATTAGATTATGTTTTTATGTTTTTATTTATGATTTTCTCTTTCAAATTTAAAATAAACTAAAAACTAATATCGCGCTTCGCACCGGAGGGAATTGGTCATTTATGATTTTATTGCAATATCGTTTGTGATGTTAGATATTTTTAGAATTAAACGAATATGGTTATATATATATATATATATATATATATATATAGAGAGAGAGAGAGAGAGAGAGAGAGAGAGTATTCAAAGTAATTATTGTGTGGGTGTAGGATTTAATATCAGTCAATCATTCTTAAAGGGTATTAGTATAATATTATCATATAATTAATATTATCCGGATTAAATTAAAATGTTAATGATTTCAATCAAATTCCTAAATATCAGGCTAGTAATTATGGATCTCATCAACGATAATATATCTTACTATATTATTATACAAATCTTACTATTTCCAAAAATAGATTTAAGATGTCCAAGTGTTTAAGCTAATAATACAACAAATTATCCACAAATTACAAAATACAATGCATTAAGTACAAGTGTAAAATTAATATTGAAACATTCAAACCTACATCCTTATCTTACCCAATATAGAGGATTTAAATTTTAAAAAAAATCAATACTTTTTTACTAGAATGACTCAACATTACTTTTGAAATTTAAATATTAAGTTTTCTCACGTGCCTAGATATCATTATTATCCAGTTGCTTTCTTCTTTCTTCTGTGGAAAAAATCGATTATCACCAACAGCAACCTGCCCACGACATTCAACATTGCTCAATCATTTGGTACGATTACATCATTACAATCATCTTTTCACAAAAAAAACAAAATCAGTTACATAAACTTATGATCAAACATTGTTTTTATTTCAAGAAAAGTCTTTTACAGGCAGATCAAAAATATACAACTTTCTTCTGTGGAAAAACAGATTTTGTAATTCAGATNGTGTAAAATTAATATTGAAACATTCAAACCTACATCCTTATCTTACCCAATATAGAGGATTTAAATTTTTAAAAAAAATTGTACTTTTTGACTAGAATGAGTCAACATAACTTTTGAAATTTAAATATAAAATTCCTCACGTGGCCCGGATATCATTATCATCCGGTTGCTTTTCTGTGGAATATATCGAAGGCCAAAGAGGTGACATTCGTATCCTCAATTTTTAGCAAATACTCATTAAAACCAGAACAATAAATACGGATGGAATAAAGGGGATTTGTTACTTCACCTATAGATGATTTAGGTATTTAATCATCACCTTCATCAACCATCGTCCCAACAATCAAAACCATATCCATCAGCAGTCAAGGAAACCACCACTACTCTCCTCCTTCTATCTTCCCTAACCGCAACCTTCACACCATACACCACTCCCCTATTTACCGTCGGACAAGTTACCACCTCACACCACTCCCCCTCATTCTGTCATTAACCATAACGCATAACACCATTCACACTCAACATCACCCTCACCACCACTCACCACTCACACTCAACATCACCCTCACCACCACTCACACTAAACATCCTCATCACATCTCACTCCCAAGAAAAAGACCCTGATTGAATGGCAGGTGGCTAAAAATAGTTAATTCGGTTTCAAAAAAGATTAAAATTGGCCAATTTTAGTCTAAACTTCCGTACCATCTTTATCCCATATAAATTTTATTGTTACAGTGGTTCATTGGATTAATTCCTAACTATAGGTGTTGTCACTGAGAACTCTATCTATCTCTCACTCTCGATGCATCTATACTCCTCTCTGTTTGCTATGAGTTAATGCCTTCTGGATACTGGTTCCTTTTATTTAGTTTAAACTGAAAGATGGAATTTTTGAAGGTGTTTTCCAATGTATTTTATCTTAGGTACCATTCCAAGGGATTTTACAATCCCAGACCAGCCACCAGCTCAAGTTGTATGTGATATATGGGAGTGAATCCTAACTATATGTATCTCATCTGCATGCATTATATCTATAATATATTATATAGATTTTGAATTTGTAGACAATTTGGTTGTTATACAGATCTAGGGTTTGTTTTTATGACTATTTCAAGATCTTTCTGGTCATTCCTTTGCTAATATTTCTTGAGTATTTAATGATTTTTTTAGTTTTATTTATGATGATTTATGATCCCTGCATTGCGCTTCCTTTTACGCTAAGTATATGGCCTTAAAAGTGTTAGGTATTATGATTTGGACTCTAACATCTGAGGCAAATGTTCTGGTTTTGAAAGTGCTTGGCTTTAGTTCTAATACTCATTTTATTGTATGTGTATGAAGAAGATCTAGGATGTGGGTCAAAAAAACATATCCAAACTATATGTCGTGGATACTAATAGAGGAAAAGGCTGGATGTTGGATTTTTAGCTTTAGATGTTCCACATTATCTATTTTGTACTATATATGTTGCATCAATATGATTTTAAACATGGAGTGAGTTAATTTCTGTTTTGATTTTTATGATGTTGCACTTCCTAAAGTATAGGAAGATGGTATACTTACTTG